CAAAATGACCGTGGAGCGGGAGTGAGGGAGTGAGTGTGGCTAAAGAAGCAGCAGATGCTATGATTTCGCCCATCTCTTAAGTTTTCACCTAAATCGAAGGAAAATCAGTTGAAAGGACCCCATTTTCCTCCTATTGCAACACGACTTCCCAGCTTCCATCTCCAAGAATCCTCTGAAAATCTCGTATACGACTAACTTGTCCGCAGCAACTCACAAAAACCAGAATACGCTTTGTTCTAAGGGAACAAATACGACCCTTCCCCACGTTGGTAACTGCGCGAGCACGATTGGTCCTTGACTGGGGAAGCCTTGAACCTTCTGCCTTACACACACTTATTCTACGAGCATGCACGCGCACACATAATCTTATTCTATCATGCATACACAATTTACGCAAACGTACTTACTCCAAGCAGCCCTCATCAGGCAACAAATAGGTTTGAAGGTCTTCCCAACTTGGGAACATTAACTGTCACCTTTAGGCTTCACAACTTTCTTTGTTTAAAGCTGCACATTAGCATGCTTCGCAAGTCATAGCATATATGTATATATGCACAATATGTAAGTATCTGAACGACACTACACTTCCAAGAGGCCGATCTTACGAGGCTCGTGCAGGCACATCCGAAATCGAGATTGGCCAACGCCAAGAACGACTTTCATCAAAAGCTTAGTAGAGCCTTTTGGTGAGATAACTTCGTGAACATGGGAATAAACTCATCGCCTAACCAACAAAGGGAATCTGCATCCAAACAAATGAAGCATTTCAAGCAGTCATGCAGTAAAACGCAAAAAATGGGTCATGCCAAAAATCGCTTAACCTGTTGTCCACCAACATATGTAAGTATTTGAACAACACTAGCACTTCAGAGGCGATCTCTCTAACCGAGCAAACTGTCCAGGCACATAACCGAAAATCTCTTCACTCCTTGTGCCCCGAAGTTCAGGCAGGCTTCCCATTGCACCTATAGTAGTGCTATGGGCACCATTGCCGACTGGTGCAGGTAAGGTACCTGGATTACACTCAAAGTCACCCAAGTTTGAGAGGTCTTCCTTAGTTCCTCGCTAGAGGGTCAGCAGAGTGCTAATTTTCCCTCGTATGCTGCTATCTCTTTGAATGCAGGAAAGGGAATAGGTTTGCAGTAGTCCTTTTATATCGTAGTTTTTAATAGTTTCGTGAAGATAATAGGGCTACCGTCCTCATTGACTAACCACAATGTTTTCTATTGTTTGTTTCTTTATAGGCGCGTCAACTGCACGCATGAATAAATAAATAAATAAATAAATAATAAATAAATATATAAAATAATTAAACGAAATAAATATAGTTAAAAAATTGCAGAGATTGGCAACGCCAGCACGATCTCTCATAAGCAGCGGTAGTTCAGAGCCTGGTTGGTGAGGCAACTTTCGTAGAACATGGGAGTTAACTCATCGCCTAACCAACAAAGGGAATCGCATCCAAACAAATGAAGCATTTCAAGCAGTCATGCAGTAAAACGCAAAAAATGGGTCATGCCAAAAATCGCTTCAACCTGTTGTCAGTACGGCCTCTTTCTTCGGCTAAAATACATTTTCAATGAATATTTCTTGAAAAAGGTCTAAAGCGACAATTCAAGCATGCCGTTACTGTCTAAACCAACCTCCTGCTTCGTCCGGTAGGAATGACAGCTCCAGTGCCCGCTGTGCCACCATAGCGGCTGTGATGGCGACGCCATTGATCTTAAAGTATATTTATGATACAATTCACCTTTCTGCATTTGAACTATATAAAAAAGAGCCAAACTGAGGCATATTTGTTTTGCAATAATTTGAGTTCATAATGCTGAAAAAGGCCGCAAAGCATCGAAAGTGGGGTAATTAAAGAAGATTCCAAGCCATCTGCAAAGTGTTCAGGTTGATCGTTCCTGCCTTTTTTTTCCCTCTCAATCGTTGAATCGTAATGCTTTACGAACCGTTTTCGTTGGAGGATCGACTCCCATGGCTTATTGAGTCACTATTCCTCATTAACAATATCTCTCAAACCCCGTCTTATCACCTGCTCAACGGATTTGAAGCGATTATGAAATTTAGAAGTGAGAGATTGTAATCTCGATGTCGATATGGAGCGCTATAGCATTGCACAATCCCCCAGCTGGTTTAAGTTTATCAATGAAAAATCGATTAAATTCGACCGACCTTCTTTCGCCGTTCCAATCCTAACCAGTGCTTGACAATTGATCTATATTTCGAGCTGAAGACGAGATAGACAAACGCTGATGAGGAGGAGTTCAATGAGATCAGAATGTTGCTTAATTCCACGGAGAAGTCGAACACGTCCTGATTCTGATAAGAAGCCTCCGTCTGGTTCACCTTCAACGGACCCTTTTGACAATCATTATTTTGAAGACTAATAGTTATGGGCATCAAAATTCTGGGGAAGCTCTGAGTAAATTGCGACCATTTATCTGGCATTCCCTTCTTCTACGAGCAAAGGTAATCTAGTGGCAGCAAGGGGTGCCCTTTATTACGAGCACAGTCCATAGGTTACTTCCTAGATCAAGACTTGCCCCGACCAACAAAGCCTTCCATTCCTGAGGTAATTAGTTCCAACACAAAAGCATAGAAAAATAAATTGCTTAAGGCGACTCCCGAAAGGTCACTGCTCAGGCAAAATTGGGATTACCAAGATCAAAAATCTCTTGGAAAACGAACAGGGGTCGTAGATATAAGAGTTAAAGGTGTCATGGTTGCGGGAGAGGGGTGGGGAAAGATGGAACTTGGTAAATGAGCAGCCGTGTGCGGTGATCCACACTGAAAACTTTGATAAAGTTCTGGGATCTGGGCGGAATGGAGCTTTCGCGCGAGAAACATCAGTGGTACATGGCACCACGAATTTACAAGTCTGAGGGCTAACAAGTTATTATGGGTGCGGGACTTTTGGTGCGTCCGGGGTTGCACGCGGCGAATCGCGCGGCGGGCTGCGCGGCGATCCGGACGAGGCAAGTCTTCGCGGGCTTCTGCGGTGGAATTCAACGTCAGAACGTGTGCAGATCGCGGATAGAATCCACAAGGTTCTGCGATTCGAATTACATTCCAACGCGTGGATATTCAAAGGCAGCGGCAGGAAGAGAAGAAAAGGAATAGCAAAAGGCTGTTATAGCAATCAGGGCGCTTAGGTTGCTGGCGCTTGTTGGGGGGGGGGAATCCCATGAGCGGAGAGATTCAACCAATTGTGTTTGGGACTAAGCCTGAGGGGAAGAGTTTCTCGTGGAGGATGTGAGCAATTTCTGTTCTCCCGAGCGTATTTCCCTTCTCATGAGCTTAGTTCTAGTGTCACCTTCCATTGGCCCTGTTTTGAAAGTTCTGGAGCGCCGCGATTAGCAAAGATATAGAGTTGACAATAAATAACATCTCACTAAATGACTCCATTTTTAGTGCTTCTTATTCATATTTATAATATATAAAGCGC